GGGATTAACATAAGAATAAAAAATAAATAAATAAAATAAAATAAAATAAAAATTAAAAAAAAAAGACATTTGGGTAAATTCTAGTTTGGGGTGATTATAATGAAAGCCATTATAAACATTTGTATATAGGATGTATGTTTAACTCTACAGGATATTACCAAACTGTTTTCCAAATTGACTGTACTGTTTTGCTTTCCTGCCATCAGTGTATAAGAGTTCCAGCTGCTCCACATCTCTGCCATCAGTGTTTTTAGTCGTAGCTATCCTAATTTATAGTGATACCTCACTGTGGTTTTAATTTGCATTTTGCTAATGACTAATGATATTCCACTTCATTTTCATGTGCTTATTTGGCATTCTTTTCTCTTTGAGGAGTTGTCCAAATCTCTTGCTGTTTTTTAAATTGCTTGTCTTCTTATTGAATTCTAAGACAACTTTACATATTCTGGATAGAAGACCTCTGTCAGATGGATTTGCAAATATTTTCTTCCAGTCTATGGCTTGTCTTTTCATTCTCTTAATAATGTCTTTTACAGAGCAGAAGTTTTTAATCATGATGAAGTCCAATTTATCAATTTTTTCTTTTATGGATTTTGCTTTTGGTGTTTTATCTAAGAAATCTTACCCTAGTCCAAAGTCAAAAGGTCTTTTCTTATGTTTTCTTCTAAAATTTTTATAGTTTTAGCCCTTACATTTAAGTCTATGACCCGTATCAAGTTAATTTTTGTATATAGTTTTGCATATGTATGTTCAGTTGTTCCAGAACCATTTGTTGAACACTAGTCTATCTTTGTTGAATTGTGTTGGCATATTTGTTGAAAATCAGCTAAACATATATATGTGGGTCTCTTTCTGGAATTCTTGTTCCATTCCATTGATGTTTATGTCTATCCTTGCACCAATATCACACTAATATCATACATAGACAATCATGTCTCCTATTAATAAAGACAGTTTTATTTCTTCCTTTTCAATCTGGATGCCTCTTTTTCCTTTTTCTGGCTCGTTGCACTAGCTAGACTCTTCAGTACAGTGTTGAATAGATGAGGTGAAAGTGAATATACTTGTCTTGTTTTCCAGTCTCAGGGGGAAAGCATTTAGTCTTTCACCATTATGGTGTTAGCTGTAGGTTTTTCATAGATAACCTTTTCGGATAGAGGGCGTTCTCTTCTATTTCTAGTTTGTTGAGAATGTTTATAATGAACAATGTTGGATTTTGTCAAATGCTGCTTTTTCGGCATCTTTTCTTCTTTAGTTTGTTAATATGGTGAATCACAATGATTTGTTTTTCACTGATTGATTTTTGAATGTTAAACCAACCTTTTATTACTGGAATAAACTTCATTTGACTCTAATGTATTGTTCTTTTTATATATTGCTGGGTTCAATTTAGTAGTGTTTTATTAAGGATTTTTGTTTCTCTGTTCATCTGAAATATTGGTCTTTAGTTTTCTTGTAATGTGTTTAGTTTTGGCATCAGGGTAATGCTGACATCATAGGACAAGTGAGAAAATATTCCTTCATCTGCAGTTTCCTGAAAGTTTTGTGTAGAACCGATAATAATTTTCTTTAAATGATTGATAAAAGATATCTAGGGCTACCTAGGTTTTGTATTAAGAAAATCCCTTTGGGGCTCCTGGGTGGCTCAGTTGGTTGAGTGTCTGACTTTTGGTTTCTGCTCAGGTCACGATCTCATGGGTTGTGAGAGCAAGCCCCATGTGGGGCTCCATACTCAGCGGGGAGTCTGCTTGAGATTTTCTCCCTCACCCTCTGCTCCTCCCACTCATGCCCTCCCTCTCTCTCTCTCTCTCTCTAATACATAAATAAATCTTAAAAAA